TAATTTCATTCCTAACACTATGAAGGCATTCATTTTAAAACACAGAAACGTGAAATATTTCAAAACAAAAATATATTTAGAGTATGTGTTCTTTTCTAAAATAAATATTTGGCCTGTCCTTAAAAGCATCCACAGTGCTACAGTAGGTGGGAATTCACTTATTCCCGTAAATCCGGGGCACAAGGTAGCTACAGTGTTTCACCTGGGGCCCCTAAATGTGGTCCATATGTTCCCCATTTTCTTAGTAACTGAATAAAACGTAATGAATTCCAAAGTATAGGCCCAAGACTGTTCTGAAAGTGGCAGTTTGAGCATGTATACATACAATATATTCACGGATATTTGCTTAAGGCAAAGAAAACAGATTTTTCCCAAAGGGTTTTTTTCCTTTGTGATTCTTAGATGTAGCCTATATTGAGTTATATTATTAGCTACTTTTGCTCTTTAGTTAAAAAAAAAAAAAAAAATTACTGCAGGCATGACTCCTTGACTCTATCTGCTCGTTTTGATGGTCTAGTAACTTTTCACCCGCTTCACAAAAAAAGGAAAAGGTAAAATCCAGGAGCCAGACATACAGTTATAGGTCAGATGGTTATGGGGGGTTCATAGAAGCAAATACTTGCCTCAGCACCTCTGATCAGTCTCGTGCCCCCCATGTCGCACATGTGTCTCAGGCTCTGTCATCTTCCCTCATGGAAAGAGCACACTAAGGTCTACCAATCAGACGTCACAGTTGTGTCCTTGACTGCTACGGTTGCCTTGTGCTGCTCCTCTGGAAAACAAAGCCTTAATTAAAATAAATAAATTAATTAAAATTAAAAATAAAAATACATGACTGATAAAAAAAGATTGGTCTTAAGCATCCAGCAGAAAAGGATAAAAGCAAGGTATAAATAGTAAAGCCATAGTAAAATGCTGAGCTGTAAAAGGCTCATGTCAACAATTTCTGACATTGCCAGTCCTACAGATAATCCACTACTATTATGGAATACTGGACTATATTGGATTATTTTGCTGAATTCACACACCTACCATACTTAAATGACAAGGAAATACCCATCTCTGACAAAACTAAACCAAAAAAGATAACACAAATGAAAGACCATTTTGTATCTGTATATAGAAAACAGTTAAGATAGATATACAGCTACTTTCTCTTAATTCAATGAGAAGAAAGCTTTGTACTAATAGTGTTTGGACAGGATATCATGTCTGCATCTTATAATACTATGAATAACCACTACAAAAACAATAATATGCAATGTATTGTTTTTTTTCAAAGTTTTATTGATAAACAGATAGCAATGAGACAGTTTCAAATCAAATCGGAAGTACAGTTTCAACAAATAATACACTGCATATATTTTTCTTAGTGGTTAATTGCTGTACAAGATGCAGACTTGTGATCCTATTTACAAACACCATTAGAACAAATCATTCTATTCATTAAGAGAATGCAACTATATATCTATCCCAACCACTTTGAATACACAGATACAAAATGGACATTCATAGGTATACCCCATTTTTCTAAGTTCCGTTATTGAATATTATAGGTGTGTAAACTCAGCAAAATATTCTAAAAGAGTCCAGTAGCCCATAATAGCATTGGGTTTTCTGTTTAACTGGCAATGTCAGAAATTATTGACCTGAGTCCCCCACAGCTCAACATAACAGCATGGCTTTATTTCCTATATTTCATCTTCATACTTTTCTACTGGATGGTTAAGACCAAGGTGCAATGTATTGTTGAAACTGTCCTACTAATCGGTTTTGAAACTGTCTCATTGCTATTTGTTTCTCAGAATTAATTTTAAAAATAAATAAAAATTATAAATATCAGAAAAATAAATATGCCAAGTGATCCAAAAAAACAAAAACAAAAACAAAAACAAAAAAGAGGGGCCGGGGAAATAGCTCAGTAGAATAAGCACTTGCCTGGCAAACTTAAGGTCCTGAGTTCAATCCCCGGTTACGCCCCCAAAAAAGAAAGAAAGAGAGAGCGAGTTGGTGGGATGTGGACCTTCGCTCCAGAAGGCTGTGAGTTCCACGTGAAGAGGAACTTTGAGTGATAACCGGACTACCACCCCACAGTTCCATTGTGGGGTTGGGCCCAGAGGCAAGGTGGGACAAGTCTTCATTGATTTGAAACCAAAATGGCCTTACAGCAGGACAGGCCTGTCGTAAAGTCCACATCAGCAGCAGGTGTAGTTGCCAGTGCTACCCAGCCTGCAGGAAAGAGCTCCTCCACCCCAGCCCCAGCCCCACCCCCTCCCCAGTCCCACCCCCACTCCCACGCTGTACTTTCCCACTCTGACCCACATGCAGGATCAGCATTACCCTCTGGCTGCTGCCCACCTGTGTATATAGGTCCTTGCTTCCTTGCCTTGGATTTTGGCAGCTATCTCCAGAAGAAGGCATGAGGAGTTTGGAAAAATTTGAATCGATTTTGAAACTCTTCTTTTGCAGGCTGCGCTTACTATTTAATGTAACAGAAAATAGTTTCTGACTTCATTCCAAGAAAACAAGTTAAAAGAAACCTTTACATAAGCAGTAATTAAGTTGAAAAATGATGATAATCTTAAGACTCTTTTGGCATATGATTACTTCTTCAATGTAAATTCAAATGCAGATTAAGATCTTAGCATAGATTGAGATTTTAGATTCCTGAAACAGTCAGGGATGCTTCTGCCCTCAGAGCGGTTTTATAGATGGCCAGCAAGAGGAATATTGCCAAGTGGCCATCTACAATGTCCTTTGAGGGTTGAGGCCGCTCTGTGACACCGGGGTTTTCTGAGAATGCTGGCCCTGTGCCCGAAGATATTTATTTTCAAGCCAGTTATATTTGTGGTGATTTCTTTGCCCCAGCAGGGGAGCCCTTTTCAGTTTAGTGGTATGTCAGAAACATTTTAAAGACTAACAGATGTTTAGGTTAATAAAAACCATGTTTATCCTCTTCTATTGGTATCGTGCATTCTTACTGTGATTTCTTTATAGGTGCTTTGAATAAGGAGAAAACTGGTATTTGTTAGAGTTTGCTAGTTTTGAATACTTCTTTGGTGTCATTATTGAAGGCAAAACAGATTGAATTTGAGTATTTCTTGGTGCACAAAGATGAATATCTCTTGTCACCCTCTTCTTTTGGGACTCTATGCGGCCTGCCATTGTAGTTACTGCCTTACTTTCTCCTACCCCCCTTTCCTGCATTTCTCCTGTGATTCCCCACATCCTGGCCTGGCAGACCCAGTATGGGGTTTCGGTAAGCACAGTGTCCGGACTGGAGTAAGGGCATAGTACTTGGTAGAAGTGGGGAACTGAATTCACAGTGTTCAGAGAATTCCCAGTGGCTATGCTTCACTTATTAATAGGAGTGTTGTGACATTTAAACACCTTTAAGAGGCTACTAGGGTCATCAAAGGAAGGTTTAAGCTCCACATTTCCCAGAAGCAAGTTTTACCACATAGACCACCCTTGCTTTGTGTCTTAAATATTCTTTTTAGAATTTTCAGCAGTCTGGATGATACCTGAATTTCCCTGGGAGACTCTGAGTGTGACTTGCCCTTTAGTGAATGTAAAATATAGTATCATATACAGTTAGGACAGTCTCAAACAGAACAAAACTAAGATTGGACTGTAAAAGGATCATGCCTGAAATCTGAGAACTTTGGAAGGCAGAGAGGAAGGAGGATTGCATGTTTGAGCCCAGCCTCAGCTTCTTAGTGACGTAGTGAGAGCCTGTCTCAAAAAATTAAAGAGATGGGGCTATAGCTCAGTACAAAGGCCCTAGATTACATCCCCAGTGAAATGCTTAGTTACAGATCTATGCAGTTTTACATATATTTATGGAGCGCTCTGATATTAGAGCCACTTTAGCAATTAACTAAACCATACTTGCAGTTTAACACATCAAATACCACAGTAGAGAAGTGGGTGGCTTGCATGTGACATAGACCAAATGGTATCCAAGTGAGAGGACAGGAAGAATGGTCATCAGGACAAAGGGAATGGCAGGACCAGCTTTTCCAAGGGGAGGCCTAATGCCTTCCCTGGAGCAGGGTGGCTGGAGGTCGTGGCTACAGCTCTGGAGCCAGGTGGTGCAGAAGCCCGGGTGTCGTGCTACGGTCATGCATCCTTATCCCAGAAGAGAAATGGTCCATTTGTGCTGGAAGTAAGCTACTTGGAAGGGCGCTGGCGGGGTCCACAGGAGAGCCAACGCCTTGAGAACATGGTAACTCAGACAGTTGAGAGCTGCAAGGTGGCCTGAGGCGACGCTGACCAACGGGAAGAGCGCTTTCAAGATTTTATCAGAATCTACCCAAGAGAGTTTTTCTGGGCTGGGGAAATCGCTCAGCGCTCTGAGCATGACAAGCGCAAGAGTTCAGTCTCCAGTGCTGCATGCTGGGCCACCCCAGAACCCCAGGCACACCTTTCAGGCCACTGAAACCGGGTGTGGTGGTGCACACCTGTAATCCCGGCCCTGGAGAGGCTGAGACAGGGAGAGCACTATGAGTCCAAGCTGCATAGTGAGACCCTGTACCAAAAACATAAATAAATGAAAGATTTTTTAAAAAGTATTTAGAAAAAGTTTTTCTGATTAAGGAAATTTGTTTTAGAACATAACACAAAATCTTATGTATAATTATTTGATATCTTGTGACCCGACTGCTACCGCACTTATTTTCTATAGATGTGTTTTGGTTGTAATCTTTATTACAGTGAAACCTAGTCCTTAGGCGTGTTCTACCTGAGTGCTCCTGATGAAAAGGGCTCTGTGATGGCAAGCGCATTCAGCGAGACTTTTAGAATTGCTCGCTTTTCCTTACTTAAAAGGAAAGTACTTGATTGTGAAAGCGCCAAGCAGATCGCTCCTTCCATGCTGCAGTTGAGCCTAGGGCCTTGTACGCGGTGGCAAGCTTCACCACTGAGCTTCCCCAGCCCGCCAGGTGGGGTCTGGGACTCCCGCATCCCCGAGCCCAACCTCCTTGTTGCCTTCCTTGCAGGCACATTTTCTTCCTGCACATCAAGGAGTCCCTCCTGGCAGGCCACCTGCAGTGTTCCCCAGAGCAGGCAGTGGAGCTCAGCGCCCTCCTGGCCCAGACCAAGTTCGGGGACTACAATCAGAACACGGCCAAGTACAACTATGAGGAGCTGTGTGCGAAGGAGCTCTCTAGCGCTGCCTTGAACAGGTGAGGCTGCTGAGCAGCTAGCCAGCATGTGTGCGGAGCGGTCGACACAACAGGAACCTCCAGGGAAAACAAGCCTCTGGGACCTAGGGACCATCCTTGCAATCAAGGCTGAGTCATGACCCAACTTAACCAGTTATTTTCAAAAGATTTATTACCCTTTGAGACATATATAAACATAGACTATACAGGGCCAGTGAGATAGCAGTCTAAGCTCCTGCTTAGGCGAGCACAAGGACCGGGGTTTGATCCCCAGCACCACATGCTGTGCCAGCCCCCTGGGCCGCTGAAACTGGGAGTGGTGGTGCAAGCCTATAATCCCAGGGCTGGGGAGGCTGAAAACAGGACGATCTCTGTAAGTCCAAGCTGCATAGTGAGCCCCTGTATCAAATACATAAAAATAATAACAATAAAAAATAAACATAGACCGTACAAATAACTGCCTTTATATGAAATGATAAACAAGAGTTTCTTAAATCTCTAATCTTTTAAAAATTCATGTGTTGGGCCAGGGACGTAGTTCAGTGGCATAAATGCCAGCCTGGCAAGTTCAAGATCCTGAGTTCCATCCCTGGTACCAAAACAGAAAAGAAGCATGTGCCTAAAATAAAAAGTCTTACAATAAAATGTATTTTGGTGTTTTCTTCATCCCAGGAAGAATTGAATTAAGAATCCTAATATAGCCATGTTAATTATCTCTTCCTATATAACAGGTTCCCCCAAACTTGTTATCTGACAATACCAAACCTCTTCTTATAGCTGAGACTGTTGTGGGAAGGCCCCAGCTCCATGGGTTTCCTCTCAGGATCTCCCTGGAGGCTGCTGTCAGCTGCTAGACTTCAGTCTCATCTGCAGCTCAGCTGGGGGAGGGACCCCTGTGCCGGAAGACCCCTGGGCCTGTTGGCCGCCCTCTTGCCCTGGGCCCATTCCCTGGTGTGGTAGCCAGCTTCCCCTGGGATGAGTGGCCCAACTCGGAACCAAAGTGAGAAACTAAGAAGGAAGCCAAAGCTTAATCTCAGGAGTGAGTCACGTCCTGTGATGTGTCCCATATATTCTGTTACTCAAATCAGGTCACTAATCCAGCCCAGACACAGTGGGAGGAACTTACGCAAGACATGGATAGCCGCAGCTGGGGTCACCAAGGGCCACATGAGGGTCCGTCTAGCACAGTAGAGCTAGGAAGGCCTGTCCTCCTTTCAGCTGCAGATGATCTACTCACTCACTGACAGTGCTAGATTATAATGAGATGTATTACATGCCCATTCATAAACATGTGATGCAGAGTTCCAGAGTGTGTGTTTGAGATTTTTCATAATTCATCACTAGGCAGCATCCCCAAAAGTGTTCTCTTTTTAATATTTGATAATCAAGATCTTGAAGAGTATCTTAGAAGTATCTCACAGTAAGTTTGCTAAATAAATGGGACATTAGTGATATACAGCTGTATGCTTTTGTGATTCATAAGTGGCACTGCCATATATCACTAGTGAACATTACACAGATAAACCTTGAAGGCCCACCGTTAGTCTCTGTGTGTAACTCTGCGATCGCTTGGCATCCCGCAGCATCGTTGCAAAGCATAAGGAGTTGGAGGGCACCAGCCAGGCCTCGGCTGAGTACCAAGTTCTGCAGCTCGTGTCGGCAATGGAGAACTACGGCATCGAGTGGCACGCCGTGAGGGACAGCGAGGGCCAGAAGCTGCTCATTGGGGTTGGGCCTGAAGGAATCTCCATCTGTAAAGAAGACTTCAGCCCCATCAATAGGTAACCCAAGTTTATGTGTTCTCAGCCCTGACCACAGGTAGAGCTGTAGCTGTCACAGAGAAAGTAGAAAATGCAGAGGGGTTCGGTAGGCAGTTGTCTTGCAGGAATGCCGTGTTTCATTTTAGAGCTCATTTTAATTTTACTCAGGCCTCAATAACCATGTAATTATTTCTCAAATGCTAACTTCTAAGTGTATCAATGGGGCAGATTTTTCAAATAAGTTGTTCACAGCCATAGAGGTCTCCTTCTGACCTTCCCACACTGAGACGCGCAGGTGGACTCTCCCGTGCTTCTCTGCATGTACACAGCTGCTTTTCTTCTTCTTTCTGTATTCTTTTCTTTCTTTCTTTTCTTTTCCCCCTGTATTTTAGGGAACACACATCTACAGGGTGTTCAGGGTCTCACTACTAGATCGGACTCATAGTGACCTGTCTGTTTACAGCCTCCCAAGAGCTGGGATTACAGGCACTCACCACCATGCCCAGTCTCAATTGCCATTTCAGTGTGCCCCGGGGGCAGGGCCAGCATAGCAGGCCCAGGGATTGCATCCTCGGCCTCTGTGTCTGCTTGCGGGTGCTTTAATCTGCTGAGCTATTTGGCTGGCCCTCACAACTATTTTTTAGTATCTGTGTAGGACAGCTGGGCTAAGGGTCTGGTGTACTGCAGAGTTTTGCTAAGGAATGGCATCGTGCAGTGCCTCCCCTGGACTGGCTTATCTTTCTCTTCCCGTCTTTTAGGATAGCTTACCCTGTGGTACAGATGGCCACCCAGTCGGGAAAGAATGTGTACTTGACCGTCACCAAGGAGTCGGGGAACAGCATCGTGCTATTGTTTAAAATGATCAGCACCCGGGCGGCCAGCGGGCTCTACCGAGCCATCACCGAAACGCACGCGTTCTACAGGCACGTACCTTAGCGCCACAGCACTCGTTAAGATTTGTGGTGACAAGCAGGTTTCTATGACTTCTTCTCTCATGGTGTCAGCGGGTCTGCATAGGATCCCAGACATGGGCTGCTTCTGTACATTTTGTTCTGCAGTGGTGATGGAGTAGGCTTGTGAACACAGGCCCAGGCCCTCACTCCCTACAGAAGGAGTTTTTATTAACACTGTCAGTCCCTCATTCCAGAGAGCCCTTTGAAGCCAAGTTGTGATTGGATTCAAATATTTGGAAAACTAAAGCCAAGAGATTTAATTGGTAGGCAGTCTTATATTCTTTTTCACTTTTAAAATAGACACACAGATTGTGGCACAGAATGGAAAATTTATAGACATTTTTAACATAAAAGCTAAGTCTTCAAAAAAGGAATTTCCTTTATTTTCTTCCACAAGCTGTTTGGGCCTGCAGCTCTGAACCCGGAGGTGGAGCTAGATGGTCTCTGTCCCTGTATTTATGCGGCTTCATTGCAGGGGCTTTGGAGAGCCTTGAGAAGGCTGAGCTGTTTAATACACATAGAGCAGGAGGGACTTCTGTGGCCTGCGCAGTGTGCTGACGCGCGTCTCCCCGCTGGGGCAGCATCCTCAGTCAGCTTCCTGGAAGTCCCTGCCCTTTGGTGTTCACGCAGGTGTGCACTCTCCTTGCAGGTGTGACACGGTGACCAGCGCTGTCATGATGCAGTACAGTCGCGACTTAAAGGGCCACTTGGCTTCCCTCTTTCTGAATGAAAATATCAACCTTGGCAAGAAGTATGTGTTCGATATCAAAAGAACATCCAAGGAGGTGTATGACCACGCGAGGAGGGCTCTGTACAATGCTGGTGTGCTGGACCTCGTCTCAAGGAACGGCCAGAGCCCTCCCGGCTCTCCGCTCAAGTCCTCCGGGAGCGGCATGAACTGCAGAAGCTGCGAGGGCCTCAGCTGCCAGCAGACCCGGGCGCTGCAGGAGAAGCTACGCAAGCTGAAGGAGGCCATGCTGTGCATGGTGTGCTGCGAGGAGGAGATCAACTCAACCTTCTGCCCCTGTGGCCACACGGTGTGCTGTGAGAGCTGCGCGGCGCAGCTGCAGGTGAGGGCCCCTCCAGGCTGCAGTGGCTGGGCATGCGAGGGTGGGTGGTGCACAGAGTGCCCGTCTCTGCCTGAGTGGCTTTGGGGTTGGTGGCCCTTTGGAAACAGTTTTGAACTTGCATATTGTTCACCCAGCAGAGCTACCCCAAATCTGAGATGTGTTTTCAAGCTCTAGAAGTGAGATCCAGATTCCTAAAGTAGTGCATCTACTCTACTCAGTGGCTGAACCCAGGGCCAGAGCCCAGGCCAGCTTCCGCCACTCCATCTGGCCTCCTGTTCCTGACCCCTGGGGGAAGGTCTTAGTGTTTGCCTAACGTGCTGGGGAAACAATGCTTCGATTTGGGGTTATAAGGAACTCAGCTACCACGGTGGGTCATTTACTTTGATTACTTGTGATTAATTTCTTTTTATTCCTAAATGTCTCTGATGGCTTCTTGGATTGGTTGCTACTGATTAGCAAGTTAAATTAATCTTAATAGAGAAAATCAACAGAACAGGTTTTTTTTCTTTTTCATGTTTTCTGCTCCAGTAATTTTGTCACTTGGTTTTATTTCTCAGAAGCATCTGCTCGATCCCTGTGGTTTATATACAATGAATGGTAACACTAAATGTCACCCGGTCCTTCAGACTCCGCTGGTCTCACAACGGCTCTTAGAGCTGGAGCATGCACACACCTGTGCACACACCTGTGCACACACCTGTGCCCCTCCTGAGAGCAGCCCACGCCCGCTGGGGGAGCAGTTTCCCTGGGAACAGGCTCAGGCTCATCTCTTTCGGCTGCGAATTCTGACCTTGTGCCTTATTAGTCTTCCATGAGCCACAGGAAAGCAGGCTTGTTGGCTGTTAGTGAGAGCAGGGCCACATTCCAGCCACACGGTGTGGGCTCTGCCATCAGCCACCGGAGCTGAGGCCACACAATCTCTGAGAGGTCTCCTGCAAGGTGGCCTGAGATGTCAGAATTACTCTTACAGGGCCATGGCCTACTGAGGTAGAACTCTGAAGAAATCATGTGACACTCCCTTGTCTGGTTGAGAGCCTTTACGGAGAGCCCACTCCATTTCCTTTTGTGTACGCATTTTCCTCTATATTTCCAAGCCTTTGTAAAGTCTAAACAGCCAAACCTAGTAGGAAAGTTCTCTGCCAATTGAAAGCTTAGAAGTCACTGTAATCACAGCTTATTTGGAGAACTCAGTGCGGTAGATACCAAGGGTGAACACCACCACCGGGGGCCTGCCACGCTGTACTAACCAGCCCTGTTGGCTTCTCTCTTGCAGTCATGCCCAGTCTGCCGGTCTCGTGTAGAACACGTCCAGCATGTCTATCTGCCAACTCACACCAGTCTTCTCAATCTGACTGTCATCTAATCTGTCCCTCGTCGGTGGGACACTCCATGCTTCCATGAACTGCACTGTTGTAAACTATAAGAATGATAATTTTGTGGAGAAAATAATTTCACTTCCAACACCCACCTGCCATGCAACATTTAAAATACAAAGAAAAAAAAAAGTAGAAGAAAAACAGGAATACAGCTTCTCTTCACTGCAGAATTATCATGCATAGACCCAAGAAGCCCAGTGAGGGGGACAAGGAAGCCCTCTGAGGCACAGACCCATTCCTTGGACTTTGATTTTTTTATGATCAAATAAAGGAACAGGTAAAATATTTGTCAGTTAAGTGGTAACATAGCCAAAAAGTGGGTACTTTTTAGGAAATGGTGTTGTAAGTCTCCATAGTGTATCCCGAGGTAAGCTTCCTACCTGCAGCAGATTTTGTAAGAAGTAATTTTAGGAATTTACTTGGTTCTTTTTGTATGGCTGTGGAGCACCGAACATTTTTAATAGGAAACTTTTTCTTAAATAGTTGTCATTATAATGTCATTTCTGTTTTTGTAACTTGTTCAAGAATGCTGGGACCACAAACATTTTAAAGTGGGTCCTGTGGTGGTGGCACTCGCCTGTATCCAGCGTTAGAGAGGCTGAGGCAAGAGGAAGGGAGGGTTAAAGGCCAACCTAGACAATTTAGCAAGATCTTGTATCCAAAAAGCAAAGCAAAACAAAACCAAACCTGACTTTTAAAAGGTCGGCTGCAATGTTGTCAGTCAGATTTGAACCAGTCTGGCTAGGAGACAGCAGCTAAAATCCAACAAGAAAGCTTCCTATTCCTTCTCCCTTTTCCTCTCCTAAGCCCCATGCTTTTTGATTATGAAAAAAAAAAAAAAAAAACTTAAACATAGTAGTAGACAAGCATGTCTTGGGCTTTATTGAGTCTGTGAACTATTTTAAGACTTAAAAGGGAGAGCATTTTCCTTGGGAAGGGAAGCCGAGCTTACTGAGGAGGGGCAGATGCACACCACGGCCGGCTTCACTCCTCGGAGCCCTCAAGCCCAACACCACGTAGGAGCCACGTTGCCAGAAAGATCAAGCCTTGCGCAGCCTTACAACAGGTTTCTAGGTATGATTCCCTCTTTTTGTGTGTATTTTGAGTTTTTCTTGTTTCTTTGTGTGTGTGTGTGTGTGTGTGTGTGTGTGTGTGTGTAAATGCTTAAATCTTTCAGTTGCCCCCTCTGTGTCTTTCAGAGGGGTTTTGGTTCTTTTGTTCCTGTATCCTTAAACATAGTTTCCACTCCTCCTTGGGCATTTTGAAAGCTGGTCCACTAGCGGGTTTTCTAGGACGTCAGGAAACCTGGATGACCTCATCGGGTGCAATACTAGCTCAGTTAAAGCTAGAAACCTACACTGTCACTTTACGGAGATTTCTGAGTATCCTTTTCATATTGCCTTAACGTAGCAGTAATGTGTTATGCATTTGTTTCTTTGCACAGACATTTTGTCAGATCTTAAAACTCTACTTTTTTATGGCACATATTAGCCTATAAGCCTTTATTCCAAGAGGTATTTATTTTTTCACTTGTAAAAAAATAATGTTTCCACATAAAGAACTCTGTTATATCCTAAAGGACTTCTGTCTTTTATATTCAGGATAATAAAGACTTTAAAGCAAACACAGGAGTTTGTATTGTCACGGTTATTGTGAGTGAAACCGGTTTTATTCAGTTAAAAAATAGGAGCAGTAACATCAAGGTTGGTATCTAATTTGGTCCTACATGGAAAATGGGAAAATGTTCATGGTGTTTGGTCTAATTGAGACCATCATCCAGTTCAGTTTCTCTTTCATCTATGTTTTAGGGCTGTAGGATTGCAAAGTAATGTGGCACAGAAAAGCAGATGCAAAATAAAAATAGGAAGAGGAGAAAGGAGGGGTGAAGTCAGAAAATAACAGCTCAGAAATTAAGCTTATGCTGCTGGCAAACGCCGGGCAGGCCAGGTGAGTGCCATCAGCGATGGTGCAGCCTCTGGAGATCAAGTGCCAGACGACAGCCCCAAGCCCACTCCTGTATCGCCCAGTGCCAACGCTGCCATTAAACCCGAATACTGAGGTTTCAGTTTAGAAAAAACAAACAAACAAACAAAAAAAAAAAAAAAAAACAGCTCATACATGAACAGCTTTTAAAAGAAAAACACAGTAACACGTGTGCACTGGTAGGCCCTAACTGGTACATGCTGGCATGTGTACAGCTGGTTCATAAAGAGCTTTGTGGAGTACACAGTATTATACAGTACATGTCACTGATAACCTTTAAATAGTTTCTGAACACTGGGAGGCAAATTCGTTTTCTGTACACCTATATCTGAGTCCATCTTCCACCAGCGCCTTAGCATTAACTCACTTGTTCAACCCATCTACTCAGCACCCACAATGTCATTTTCTCTGTATTTTTTTCAAATAGAAAAAACAAAATTTACTACATGCTTAAGTCATGGAAATTTTAGTCTCCGGTACTGAAAATTTAAGTCAAAAGATGGCTGATCCAGTATGCCTGTATTACATTCTTAGCCTGCAGTATACACTGTGACTATAGATATTAATATTATTTCAATACATTATCACTGGAGGGTCTCTTAGGCATGGTAGCCAGACTTGTGGAAAGATGGATGGATAGGTGGGTATCTCGGATGATGGATGGGTGGGTGGGTGGGTGGCGGGGTGACTGGTCAGCAAATACATAAACATTGTTCACAGCCTAGTAGATCAATGGCTCCTTAAACTCAGTGACAATATGAAAACTATCACCTGCTGGTGTTATGGTGCTCTAGAGAAGATGCTGTGGAGGTCACAGGGTGTAGCAGTTGCCTCAGCCTTGAGGCCAAAGGTAAAGGTGCTTCCCAGGAACCTTTGACCAGGACCTTGACTTTCTAGTTGGAAAACAAAAGTATATGACACATGCCATGACACGCCACGACGAGCTGGACCACCCCCTGCATGTCAATGAGGTGGTGACAAGATGGGCTCTGAAAGAAAGTGTCTTCATGGGGAACTTCAGTCCCAGGTTCACTTTGGCCATCGTGCCTTGGTGTCTTCCCAACAAGGAATTTCTGGGACAGAAGGTACCGTACAGAGAACTCCTGACAGGTGGGATAGATGGGCAGGAAGAGAACCCAGGCAATGAATTCCTTTTGATCACCTATGGCATGAAAAAAATGAGAGTCAACGTCTGATCAGCATATTGCGGACAAGTCACAGACATTCTGCTTCCACCGTGGGCTAGACAATCTGACAAAGGGAGGTAGCAGAGTGACCTCGGGCATAGGAAGGCTGCATTTGGTTTGGACATGATCACTTGAGATGCCTGATAATAAGCAAGCTTGTAGTCAGAGGCTGAGCAAGAGAAACTTTAGGTAGTCACTGCCTTGATATTTGAAGACACGGCAATATTAAAGTCATCTACAGGAGGAGAAATAAATGGAAAAAAGAATAAAGCTGAACATAGATTCCTGAAGTAACCTACATCTAATGTGGGCATGAGATTAGGAAGGCATTTGAGAAAGAACATTCTACAGGATAAAACTCAAGAGCTAAAAAAGTAAGCCAGAAGACACCTTCCCAGGAACAGCTACATCAAGGCTGCAGCAGAGCCAGGAATCGAGAGTACTGAGAAAGCCATAAAGTGTGGTAGAACAGGGCCCCCGATCCTGAGCAAGCAGGAGCATCTTCTGAGGGCTGAGGGATTACTAGCAGTGGCCAGGCTGCACTGAGCTGAGTCAGAATGGGACGCAGGGACAAAGAGGTGATAAATCAGGAAGTTGGTAGTGAGAAGGAGGAGGAGGCCCCAAGAGTCCGGGCTTTGTATTTTCAATGGAAGAAGAGGTCAATCTAGAAGAGAACAGTAGGAATAAATGAAGGGCCTGGGTGGGACCTTTGCAACTGCAGAGACTAAACCTCAAGAGGCTGATCTGCCAAAGCTACAGACAGCAGGACCTGAACAAAACCCTTCCTTCATCTATTAAGAGGTCAAAACTAGTAGTGATGCTAGAAATGTTTTTTGCCACTCTGACTCATGTCAGAACCTCGATTGATCTTGTCACAAGTTGGGGAGCAGAGCAGCAGTGCTGATGAGTTCTAGGGGTTGTCCCCTTAACTGTCACTGAATGCCAAGGCCTCATGGGAGAGCGCACGTGGAGAAAGCATGAACGCTTCCAAGAAAAACTCGAAAAGATGTCTGTAGGACAGAAAGTTTGGGGAAATTCCCAAACCCAAGCATTGGGGAAAGTTCATAGGTGTGAATCCTGGTGTGAACCCAGTAAGAAGGACAGCAAGGGGAGCTGGCGGGTCGAGAGGCACAGAACGAAATACAAGAGTGGACTTAAGAACAGATGCTAAGTGGAGTTTGAGCACACCCGGAACTGGAGACAAAGCGCAGTTGCTTCTGCATAGAATGCTTTCTCACAGCAATCCCAAAACTTTGGCAGGTTGCTATTACTCATATTTTTATGGGTTTATTTTTTTAAAACTTCAAAATATTACAGAGTAAGTCTTGTGCCTCTTAAAACTGTTAGGACCATGCAAATTACAGATTTGGCACATCTGCCAGTTGCCTAAAGAAAACACACTTCCAGCAAAAGCTAAACACCTACTCTTCACAAAGCTTGCTGTAGTGCTAAGGGGAAGGAAAACTTGAAAGGGTAAGTCCTCCAAAGGACATAAAAAGATAATAGCACGAAGACTAAAAATATTACACACATTTATCCTTCTATGAATGAATACAAGTGAATCAGGCAAGGTTTAGGAAGGAGAGCAGTTGATCTTGGTCTTGAAGTAAAGCACAGAGTTTGGATTGATGGTAAAAAGTAAAGCACAATAATGTGAAAGAGCTCATAGATCAAGAACGAAGCTCAAGACAAAGAGGAAGAAAGCACAGCCAATCTGTAAGGAGATTTGCTTGTGGAAGATTTCAGTGTCTTTTAATTAGTATATAGAAGCTACAATAATGTGTTGCTTTTTTCTTTTACTTTTTTTAACAGTAAGTTTGCCATTTTCTGATTCATTCAGCCTTTTACTGGTTAATTAGTTCCACAATCACCTAGTATCCATCAGCCTCTGTTCAGACTAGAACAGTAGTTCTTGATGAAGGAAATTTTGTCCCCAAGGGACATGAAGCAATCTTCAGAGGCACTTTTGTTTTGTTTTTGGTACTGGGAATTGAACTCAAGGCTTCATGCTTGCCAGGCACGTTCTGCACCACTGAGCTACACCCTCAACCCATAGGCACTTTGGATGTCATACTGGTGGTATGGTGGCTACTGGCATTTAGTAGATAAAGGCCATGATGCTGCTAAGCATCCTACGGTGAACATGGTAACATCCCAGCAAAGAATTTTCCAGTGTAGGATGTCAGTATTGCTGCAGCTGAGAGGCCTAGGTGGAGTACACGGGTCTGAGATGGAGTCCTTGCTCTCTCTGGACAGCCAGTGGAGCTGAACTGCAAATTAATCACTCCAGATGACTAAGTTTCATAGTTTAAGTAGATCCTGAGTACTACAGAAGGGCAAAAGAAGATGCCCCTCAATTTGCTTTGGGTCCTAAAGTTCTCTAGAAGGAAGTCATCCTGGAAAGGAGTCTTGAGAGAGGAGGTGGAGCCTGCCAGGGAGGAAGGCCGGTGGAGGGCACGCGCTTAGCCACGGGATATGTGAGAGCCACTGGGCAGTGCAGCGGAGCCCAAGTGTCCAGCACGTGGTCAGCTAAAAGGAGACATGGACTAGGAGGACAAGGGCCTGAGAAGTAAGGTTGGGAACTAACCCGGGCAGGTGACATAAGCACTGCAAGCCATACTCCTGGACCCCTATAAGAAGACCAGTGTCTGCCTGAGTTGGATAAGTGACCCCAAAGGCTGTGTGCTAAAGGCTTGCTCTCCAGCCTGTGGTGCTATGGCATTGGAAGACATAGAATTTTTTAATATAAGTCTGTATTATATTAGTACACGTTTGCATTTCATGCAGTTTGCAGTCATGATGGGGAGTGGCTACATGTACATATTACAGCCTGTTTCCCTTTTTTACACCCTTTCCCCTCTCTTTCTCTCCCCCCTCCTCATCAGGTTTTCCATCCCGTTTTTCATACTTTTTGATATTACTTGTCTTACCATATGTCACAGCATATGGTGTCTATATTAATTGGGGTTACCCAGTTCCTGTTCATGACACATCTTTACTCCTCTCACTTCCCCTTGCCCTCCTCCTCCTCACCACTCACCCCTTTTCCCTTGGACCATTCTTTATTGCCAGAAATCTACCCTTTCCCCCCAATCCATCCGTTGTCATTTTCTTTTGTCAGTACTTCGCCTCCCTCAGATGAGAACTATCATACTATATTTTAACCCTAAGTGTCTGCTTTATTTCACTCAACATTATATTTTCCAGGGACATTCATTTTCCCACAAATATCTCAAATGTGTCATTCTTTGTAGTCAAAGAGTAGTCCATTATACATAGACACCACATTTTTTTTATCCAGTCACCTGTCAGTGGGTGTAGACGCTGCTTCCAGGATTTAACCATTACGACTTGAGCTGCTATAAACTTTGATGCACACGTATCACTATAGTGTGATGGCTGGAACTCTTTGGGGAAGATACCTAGCAGGGGAACCGCTGGCTCAAGT